CACACACACACACACACACACACACACACACACACGCACACGCACACACACACCAACGCACACACATTTTTGAAAAAGTGCATTTTTTCGACGTTTTAGAACATTCTAAACACATTGGTAGCGACAACTCCAAAAAAATGTTTTTCATGAAAACAAAGCTTCCTCTATGAGGAAGCAAAAAAGTAAGATAAGTACATTAAATAAATTTTGATTTAAAATGTGTTGTTTGTATTTTAAACATGTGTTTAAAACATTTAATCGGTCACAAATTGTTTGTCATAAATATTTAACACTTTGGATCAAAATTATTTACGTTACTCGGTTATCTTATTTTCAGCTGTTGCTGAATTTGCATATTTAGATATTATGCATAATTATTAAGAAATCTTTAGAGAAACAATAAAACAATGTATATGATGAGAGAGAGAGAAGGCGGGGGGAGGGGAGAGAGAGAGAGAGAGAGAGAGAGAGAGAGAGAGAGAGAGAGAGAGAGAGAGAGAGAGAGAGAGAGAGAGAGAGAGAGAGAGAGATTCATGCATTACTTAAAGCGCTCATTCAATAGTTATTAATCTATCGCACAATCCATTGAGCTTAACAAACCCATGGTAACGACCCGAGTTGAAGAGCTAATGCACATAACGTGGGGTAGCAATATATAAACAGTCATGGACGCAAGTAACGCACAAGCTTTGGCGTATTCTGACTGTCAAAATATGCCAAAGCTTGTGTGTTACTTACGTCGACGACTATGACATCGTATATCGTTATGCCCTGTTATGTGCTTTGGCTCTTAAATTGCTTTTATTTAAAACCTGCTGCACGGACTTTACCAGAAGAAAAAACATAAAAAATTATACATTCCGTGTATGCAAATTCTGAGACGTCTCTTGTAGGTCGATACAATATAATTTTACAATATATCATACTAGTGATAAGTACAGATACACATACATTTTATATATTATACATAGGTATAATATTTGCACTATGAATCGTGAATATATATCATGATGCTGTCTTTTAAATTGTCAGTGATATTATTGCATTATAAATAAAAAGTATTAACTTTAATGTTTAACAATTATTTTAAGTAAAATTACTTTAACACATATAAGAATCCTGACAGCACTATACGTGAAAGAGACGTGCTACTTTGGTTGCAAAGTAACAGAATTTACGATACGTTTTTCGCACGTCACCGCGACGTAACGTACAACTAAGATAATCAGATTTTAATTAGCTGTCTGTTGAATTTTATGCGGTTTTATGATTGATATTCCGGAAATAAATCATATTTTATTTTTTATTATGAATTTGAATTTTATACGTATAATTGTTACGTTGCAGACGTTGCATAGAATAATGTTTTATAGCTGGCGATACTGATATTTTAGTTATGTTTACACTATTATATGTTGTAATATTTAATTAACTTTTATACAACATCTTACGTCGATAGTTATAACTATCATTACAAAATATATAGTAGGTACACATGCGGACATGTTTGTTTCAATTTTTACTACAACCAAGTGCAATAATGCATTTTGTCTATCAAATATTTATGCACATAATATAATAAAAACCAATCTTAACTTTTCAAAACCGGTCAACTATTTTAAAGTCGTCAATAGGTGTTCAACACATAAAGTCACATATACACGTTACTACAACATCTCTGTCACCAGAAATTTGGCTGTTACATGACAGCGACATGTTAATCACGTTTCGAACCCCAGTTGAGACATCGCTGTAACATTACGTGCGACGAGTTAGCACGTCATAGCGACGTGCTTGCTATGTGCGCCGTACGGTGCTGTTAGAGAAGGATAGATACTTCAAAATATATTTCAACATATCGTCTTATATTTTTTTATCATAATTTGTGTATAAGTTTCAAGTTATTTAGCGTTTATGCGATAACAATAAAAAAAATACTATGATAAAGTTTTTTCGAAAACTATGCGAAATGGGGTTAAATGCAATCTTCTACGACGTATTCTATTATGATAGCAAAACTAGGCGCAAAACAGAGATACAATGTAGTAGAAATTATGATATAAGTATTAATAAGTTTATACTGTAATATCGTATTACATAGAATCGATGTAACGATATTATTATTAGCAATCTTACTCGACTAACTGAATTTAATAAGCTGTTTAAAAAAGAATCTTATTAATAGGAATATAAACAAAGAAATAATATATAATTGAAAGTACATTTTTATTTCACCAATAAATAATAAACAATTAAAATTCATTTAATCGACTACAATTGGCTAATCATTATGACAACCCGACCATTGGTTTTGGTCAGATTAATCTTCAAGATATTTCGACCATGGATTTTGATCTTTTCTAAATTAATATAATCTTTGATACTTATATATGAGCATCTCATTTTAAATAATTAAATTAGAAATAATATAATTATAGAAGTTCAAAAAAAAAATGATAAAAGTTATTTTTAATTATTATTTTTTTATAAGAAACAAATAATTATCTTTTATACGACATTTTATTTGACATTTTTAAATAATATTTTTATGCTGTCTGCAATTTATATTACCACTATTTTACGAATGAAGTTGTTGTCTCTATGAGATAAGTCTTTATGAGAATTATCTACAATATGAAACTAAATTTATTAGTAAAATACTTTAATATAATTACAAATAATACGATAGATGTAAAACTTTTAAATTATAACATTTCATAAAATCAACCGAAGATAATTCAATATGGACTCAATTAATGTACAAAATGTATTGTTTCGAGTATTTATTTCTTTATTATAAACTATTCTTTATTATAAAAGATTAATGTTGGCTCCTTGAAATCTTTTTAAATATATTTACTTTATAATTGTATTATACTTTATATTTTTATTTATTACGTCTTTCTATGAATTGAAAAATATTTAACTTAATTAAATGGATTGATCTTAATATGATAATTGCTATCTTAGGTCGCGTGCCGTATCATCTAAGCGTATTGCTTTTCCTCGTTTTATCTTTACAATACTCAAAATAACTCGTGTTATTATCAATCGTATTATTGATCGCAATAATCACGTAAGCACTTGCAATATGTAAATGATGCCAATATAAAATGAAATACATGTATTCTGAACATTATTAAGACTCGATCAATCTTATCGTAAAATGTTTGACCCATGCTTTGCTAGGTCATGATGGCGGCTTATAGCGGATGCATAAATGTTGCTAACATATTTTTCAATAATATTCAGCACAGTGTTATAATGATATATGTGTGGGTATGTCAGTGGTTTGATAATGCAAACAGTGATCTGTGTACCAAGAAGAAGCTGAAAGAAATGCCGACTTCAGTAAGAAAGACGATTCGACGAAGGAGGCACGCGGAACGATTATTATTTTTGTTTAGACGTTGCGTACATGTGATTTTTGGTAAGAGACAAACGAGTGATTTACGATAGAATTTATTTGGCATTGATAAGTGAAGTTTTTATTACCGTCCGGCAAATATTAAATATAACTTTAGGTGAAGTAGTGTTATTTAAAACAATCGATTATTAATTAAAATAACGCAGTTAATATATTTAAATTAAACTGTTGCAACTACATCGTGTTATACTATTTTTCTATTTTCTTTATTTCTATATTTAATAGTTTTAAATCAGCAACATATACATATATTCTAAAATATGTTATGAAATGGACACATAAATTTAAATTTATAACAAAAACATAGTTTAAATTAATGAAAAAATATAAGAAGGAAGAAGGGATATATAGAAAATCTAACACTATCAAATTAATTAGAAATATTACGATAATTTTATTTTTACTTTTACAAATTATTTAATAATATTTAAAATATTTAAAAATATTTAATATTTAACAATATTTATAAAATAAATTAAAGAATAAATTAGAAAACAATTTAAAACAGTTTAAAATTGATAATATTTCTATAACGTAAAATACTTTTTAGCTCTGATTTTAAATTTACTTACTGTTGACTAATTATTTTCCAGGAATAAGCAAATGTTTTGTTTAAAGTTTAATTTAAAAGAATCAGTTATCAGGCTTTCATGGATTCGAATTTATTGGCCGCTATAATTAACCGATCTACGACTTGCACAACTTTCGATGCATACTTGAAAAGAACAAGATTTGAAGACGAGCCTTTCAGAAGCAGACGATATTGCAAGTGGAAGGTCATTGCAGATAATACAGGGCAAAGATGGCTTGCTCGCTTGATTTTCTTGCTGGATGTTTGGGAGGTAAAATTTTAATTATAGTTTTCTTGAAGTGTTTTGGTGTAATTTATATAATTAGCTGCAAAATTATTTATTGTTTTCAAAATTTGTCGTTTGCTTGATAAAAAGGTGCAATCGAGTTAATGAGTGTTAAAATTATTATTTGCTTTTCATATTATGTACTTGGGTTGCTTAAATAAAAATGTGCAATCCAATGGAAGTTAAAATTATCAGTCTCTTTTCATGATAAATATACTTGAGTTGTTTAAATGACAATAATAAAAAGAGAAAAAATTATTGTATCGTACGATTTGGTTATCACAGATTGAAATATTTAGAATAACATATTTAGAAACAAACAATTTTGTGGTTTCCTGTTTTATCAAACTTACGCAAATAACAATATTTATATCAGCTTACGTTTTCGCTTGTTATGTCGTTAGATAAAAAAATCTGTTGCAAAACCATACTTCGTTCTATTTAATATTTTTGCCATGTAATGTTTTACGCAAATATAAAACATATGGTACGGCAGTCATATCACATTAACACTTCTCAGATAGCCAAGCGTGATATAGCATATTGAGCAAACTAATGTAGGATTGCATGTGTTGTTATATATTTGCTGTAAATTTGCTGACATCAAAATAGAACACTGTGTTACAAATACAGCTACATGACTGCTTATACATGCAATCAATTGACGCAATTTCGAGAGCAAACGGTCTACAATACTGGTACGTTATGTTGTCTGCAACATGTCAGCAACATGACAGCAATGAATGATTCGTCGTTCCATCTTGAGCATCATGACGCAAACATGATGGCAACAACACATATATTTAATATGATTTCCATCCGTTATTGCGTATATGTCTTCAAGCTATGAAGTTTTTTAATTGTAGGTCGTTGCTAACAAAGTGTTAACAATATGAAATTGTCACACGTTTGTAAAGAATGTGCAAATATCAGATCCAATAGATGATATCCAATCGGTTCTGTTTCTCATATTTAAAATATGACGAACGATAGTATATGAACGATATAATGACGAAAAACTGCACAACTAATATCAGTTGTATCGTAGAGTCCACTTTTATGATAAAGTGTGGCACACTTTTAGATTGACGTAACCTTATATTAATGATACCTTTTGAAGACATTTTTAAAGACTGATGATAATTAAATAAACACAATACATACAATGTATATATTTTGCAAACAAATCTGGTTTCTTAATTAATTATAATTTTGTATATAAATTTGATTTTTACAATTCTCTTATTAAAACGTCATTAAAAGGCTAAAAAGGTCATAAAGGTCACATTTTTCAACGTCTTGAAATGTCGTCATCGGTCTGGGACTTATTCCTGTCATTTTTACATTATTATTACATGATTATAAAAGAATAATTGACGTAACGATTAACTGACATGAAAATCACGTGACGCTGCTGCCTGGGAAGTTGCCCTCAAATTGCAATCAATATGCCGAATCGTGAATGACAAGTTGTCGTCAAGTTGCTGTCACAAATCATCTCTTCACGGATAACAAATCCGTGTGAACATGTTGCTATCAATTTGCCGTGAAGAGAATTAGAATTCGTGTGAGTTCAACCTGACAGATATAATGCTGTCTCACCTTGTCCCTAGTTTGTCAAAATTAGTTGCATCAACGATTGTTGCCAACATGATAGCAATCTCACAGCATTTGGCTATCTGAGTTATAAAACGAATATACATATATTTCAATACTATAAATCAAATAGAAGTGAAACAATAGCAATTTGATTTATTTAAGAGAGTCTTTATATTTGTATTGTCAATACAATGAAGTTTATTTTATAAATTTCAGGATGTGCCGGTATTATGGTGGGATATCCTTTGGATACGGTTAAGGTTCACATGCAGACTCAGGATTGTCGTAATCCAAAATATCGAGGCACCTGGGATTGTTTGCGTACCATATTCGCGAAAGAATCGGTATTAAAAAAAATAATGATATAGAACCGTGTTAAAATAACAAATTACACTTAAAGTTTAGTCGCTTTTATATTTGCTTGCAAAATATAAAATCTATTAATATTGCTATTCATATATCTTCCCAGTAAGCAAAATGATAGCAGTCTATCGGCAGATTGGTAACAGATTTGATCAGACATGTCAGCAGACTGACATCAACTGCATTCACATTTAATTTATGTTTTGTTAACAGAGTCTGCTAATCAGCAGACAATCTAATAATCAGCAGAAAACCGTGCAGAGCTTGAACAATTCCAGCAGGATCTGCTCGATTTCTGCCGCCAATCTGCTGTCTGATTATGTTAGTAGCCTCTGTTGGCGTTCTGCCGACATCATGTGATATATCGGAACATCAAATCTGTAGCCTTTCTGTCTACAAAATTTGTAGATACTTGGCAAGATCTGCTCTCGACAGACTTGACTGTTTGGGTTTGTATAGGTGAGTGGCCTTTATAAAGGAATGTCTTCGCCAATCGCAGGAGTGGCTGTGGTGAATGCCATCGTCTTCGGCGTTTATGGATATACTCAGCGGAACCTGTCCGAACCTGATCGATTGTCATCGTATTTTCTGGCTGGTGCATCTGCTGGGCTTGCTCAAACTCCTGTCGCAAGTCCAATAGAATTAGCAAAAACACGTCTGCAATTGCAGTCCACGGGCCAAGGTAACTTTCAAGGACCGATGCAGTGCTTGAGGAAGATCTATAGGCAGGAAGGTTATCGTGGCGTCTCTAAGGGTCTAGGTATTACATTCCTCAGGGAAGGACCGAGTTACGGCGTATACTTCGTGACCTACGAGATGTTGACCAAGACGTCTTCGAAGCAACCGATTTCGACACTTCATATGCTGTTGGCCGGGGGATTTGCTGGTGTAGCTTCTTGGGTGATTTCTTACCCTATTGATGTCATCAAGTCGCGCATACAAGCGGAAAGTGGCAATCGTTACTCGGGGGTTTTGGATTGTCTCAAGAAATCTATACGCGCCGAAGGATACAGTTGCTTGTACCGGGGCTTAAATTCGACGATCCTTCGAGCATTTCCAACGAACGCGGCGACTTTCGCTGTAGTCACATGGACGTTCCGATTATTTGGTGAGAAACCGAATGAAGCACCGAAGGTGGAAAATATCGCGTTGAGGACGTCGATGCAGACAAAAAATCGTACGGCGAAAGGATACGAATCCTTCGCCAATAAGTGGAACGTGTTATTCGACGGTATTTCAAGGGGTAACGGTTTTGTTACCCCGTCATACTCCGTCAGATTCATGTTGCCGATCAGCAGGCTAATGCCAGATAGCAGCGCCTGCCTGGTTCATGACTGTAAACGATCGGGTTGCAAGCACGACGCATTGAAGCAGGAGAATACATCCGAGGATGGAGAAGAGAGAAAAAGAAAGTCAAGAAACGATGAAGGTCGAGTAGAGGAGGACGAACATGTTGATGAAAAGAAGGATTGTAACAACGTTAAGATGGCTATAAACATGTGTACTTGTAATCTCCAACGCGTACTTGGTGTCTCAAACCTGGATAATACTTGACGTCATTGCAGCGACGAAGTCTTTGAGCACATGATGTATATTGTTAGTGCAATATAGTGTAAGAAAAGGAATTCAATATCCATTTAGAAAGATTTTTTTTTAATAATTAATTTAATTAATGACGAATATATATATATACATATGTATATCACAAGCAATGCAAGCATCCACAAAATGGATGAATAATTTAGCTGAGGAATGTTCTTACGTTAAGAGATGTGAAGTTGGATTTGAATTAAAGTTGCAAACCATGCAAACTCATTATAGGAAAACTAACTATATATATTTAATTCAACAATCGAAGTAATTGAGTAAGCAAAGAAATAACTATAAAATTTTTAATGTGTATGTTATATATTTGATTTCTATAGGGCAGATTTTATCAGTAGATTCTTTATAATAAGATTTATAATATATTTATATATTTATGGAAAATGTGTTTTAATCTTCTTTCGGTTGTTTTATTACAACTGCTTGATTTAATCATTTTAATCGATACATCAAGACTGGCGTGCTTTATAAATTTTTATAATTTATACTGATCTATATTCTTAAAATGAAATTAACACAATTAATATTTATATCAAGCTCGCTATGAAGCAGGAACAGAAGGATCTCTTTTGTCAAGCAGCAGTCTTTGATTGATTGGCGGACATGTAAGACCACATGCCACAGCTTGACGCGACATTTATTCGCTTTTAAAATCATACAAAATAGTTTGTATCCCTCTTACAATCCCCTCATCGATTTTATTCCACATTCTCACTTTTCTGCATTTCTTCAGTCTACAAATTGATCTTCAGTCCTCCCCCGGCCCACGTGTCAAAATTTTGACACATTCCAAATTCTCAGCACATATGAACTTACACGGCAGCACATTTCAGCTATTGATCGCGAACAGGATTTTATTGTAACCACGTTTTTACATCAAATCGAAAAATTATCAAGTTGTAAATTGTAAACATCAAACCTGATGTCAAGATTAATACGATTTGTTAACCTCCCGTGCGATTGCTCTAAATTTTCAGGAAACAATTATTTTTACTGAGTAAGTTAAATTAATAAATATAGGATATACAATTTTTAAAAATAGCGATAACATAGACAAATTTTGAAATAGTTTAAATATATTTGCATTTATAGTATTATATATACTTAACCAATACAACACAAAGTAATTTATTAGTAATTTATTGAGGTAGTACATATGTTTCTATATTATTTTATTATAATCCAACATTAGTCTAATATCAAATTATTAATAAAATAATTTTAATGTTATAATTATAAAGTTTCTGCGTAATTCTTTTTAATCTTTTACAATATTGCAATATATTTTAGAATTAATATTTACTAGCTGTTTTTTTACAGATCTCTGTTGAAGAAATCAATTAATTTAATTAAACTATTTAAATGTCGTAATCCGTCATATCGTCGCGGCAACTAAACTCTTTATATATTCAAATTTTGATATGGATGCAGAGCCAACTACCAGTAATAAGAAAAATGAAAAATATAATACAAATAACCAACGTTTGATAGCTGAAAATGGCGGTCGTTGTATGAGCACGCAAGCGATGCAATCGCTCTATGATTTCCGACAGAATAATCTGCTTTGCGACGCAATATTGAGATTAGAAGATGGTGGTGTCTTCCCGATTCACCGAGCTATACTTTCAGCATGCAGTACTTATTTCAGGTTCAATTTTAATCGACGTATTCGTTTTGGATTTCACATTAAATTATTTTATAAATTTACTATGTACAAAATAATTAATTAATAGTAATAAAATAATAATTATTCCTTACAAAGATAATTAAAAATGATAACAACGACTTAATAATTGTTTTGTTACTCGCATTTCTTATACGAATCTTTTTTGATATGGTAATGTATAGCTATATATAAATAAAATAATAAAGTATATGTAAATAAAGTAAATAAAGTTATTAATAAATATCACTTTAACTGTCATAATCTCTATTGTTTAATTAATTTTACAGGGCATTATTTACAACTACATTGCATTCTCGTGAGAAAACCGATGTCCTTTTGCCAGGCGTGACAAGTCCAATGATGAATCTCTTGCTGGAATATGCATATTTACGATCCATTGATGTAAATCAAGAAAATGTATGTGAATTGCTGACCACCGCGGATTACTTAAGCATTGTAGGTGTGCTTGATCTGTGCTGTGACTATTTGAGAGATAATTTAGCGCCGGAAAATTGCATCGGAGTGATGAGATTCGCCCGTCAACATTTCTGCAAGAAATTAGAAAATGACGCTTACCGTTTCATTGTAGGACACTTCGTCGAGGTGCGATTAGCATAATAATTCACTTATGTATATCGTTTCTTTACAATCTAATCTTTTGTTTTTCTTGATTTATATTAGGTATCGCAGAGAAGCGAAGAAATTTTACATTTGCCTATCGAAGAACTGAAACCGTTAGTCGGCGCTGATGAATTAAATGTTAAAAGCGAGCAGACAGTTTGGGAGTTGGTTCTGAAATGGATAAATCACGATCCAGAATCTAGGAAGGATTATATTGTCGATCTAATGAAGAATATTAGACTCGGTCTCTTAGACACGCAGTTCTTTTTGGAGAATGTCAAGGATCACCCTTATGTCGTGGGCAACGACGCATGCAGACCCATTATTATCGAAACTCTGAAATTCTTGTATGACTTAGAAATGATCACTCAGAAAGACGGAGAAGTACCAACACCGGAAATTGCACGACCCAGAGTCCCACATGAGATTCTGTTCGCCATTGGTGGATGGAGCGGTGGCTCTCCGACAAATTATATTGAGACATACGATACAAGAGCAGATCGATGGATTCCGGTAGTATTAGACAATTTACAGCTTTTTAAACACAATCTCAATAATTCTTTGACATTGATATAGCATTGCAAGATTAGATTTGTTTATTATGTCATCTGTGTACATAACAAACATATTATAGAAAAACAATGTGTAACAATTGAAGACATATGAAGTAAACATATGAATTGTTTACTTGAACCCATTTAGTTCATAAAAAAGAATCATTGAGTGATTGGAATGATCTATTATCCATTATTTTCGAACCACATACTAAAATTGAAGAAAATGGTTATTTTATTAAAATTTTAACAATTTATTTGTGTGAAATTTTGAGCCTTTTAGATTGAGGAAACAGATCCGACTGGTCCGCGAGCTTATCATGGACTTGCGGTGGTTGGTTTCGATATTTACGTCATTGGGGGATTTGACGGCGTCGATTATTTCAATAGTTGCCGTTGCTTCAACGCGGTGACCAAGGTGTGGCGAGAGGTTGCTCCCATGAACGTTAGAAGGTCGAATATATTTCAAAGGGGCTAGTCACTAGTCCTGCGATTTAGATAATTTTAATTTTATTGTTTATTTATCTATAATAAAGACAATTAAAGAAAAAATAGTGCAGTATGCAAACACAACAAATATTTAGATACATGTTTATAGTTACGTTTAAATATATTTTGTAATTATATATATAGTTACAGTAATAAGGTACATATAACAGGCTGAAGAAAATTATATATAAAAGATATAAAAAAGAAAATTGCATATAGACGTTATACAAATAAAAACCAAAGTTCAGTGACTAGCTCCTTGATAGTATCACCAACAATGAAGGCTCGCATCAGAATCTTTTCATTTGTCGCAGATGTTATGTTAGCGTGGCAGTCTTAAACGATCTAGTTTATGCAATGGGAGGATATGATGGATATCATCGACAAAAAACGGCGGAACGTTATAATTACGAGACAAATCAATGGTCCCTCATTGCATCAATGAATGTGCAGAGATCTGACGCGAGTGCAACGACATTAAACGGTACTACTTAATTCTTAATAACTATATTCTGATATGTCTATTTTACTTATCTAAAAGTATTGCAGCATAATCAATCTCTTTATTATACGTAGATAGATTTGTCTAAAACATCTGGTAGTATAAGTATTATATAAATAAGTATTTTGTAAAGTAATTTTTTAATAACATATAGTTCCTGTAAAAAAGTAAAATAAACGTAGATGTAAGTAATTTTGAACTATACAATTAAAAGAGAATAATAGTATGTATTGTAATAAAGTTATTTATTGAGAAGGAACAAGTACGAATACATAAATTATAACGTAGATATCGTTTACTCGACCGAACTGGCAAATTTATTTAAAAAACGCTACGTTTCGACCGTAGATTTCGGTCCTTTTTAAGCGTATAAATACAAATTATTAATTAGTTAAGCATAATGCCCAAACTACGCCACATCTAAAAGATAATTTGTGCGTTGAGATCCAAGGAATTAAAATATAAAAATGTACGTTGGAACGACATATTCATTAGTCGTTTGATAGTCGAAGGACTTGTCAGATCCGTGGCAGTATTCGACAGTCGAATATTAATTTTTAAAGCTTAACTAATTAATAATTTGTATCCATACGCTTGAAAAGGACCGAAATCTACAGTCGAAACGTAGCGTTTTTTAAATAAATTTGCCAGTTGGGTCGAGTAAACGATATCTACGCTGATTTTTTTATTATTTACTGGCGATTTAAATTCTTATTTTGGCCACAAATTTTTAAAATTTTAATTTAAATAATTGTAAATTTATTATTTTTATTTTACAATATAATACAATAAAATAACTATTATAACGCTTATTGGTAAATTTCCCATATGTACACAGAGAGAAATTTCCCTTAGAATTTACCTTGAAAATTGTCATAGTCATGAGACAACATGTATTACGAAGAATTTTATGCGAGCTATTCTGATTAATATCTACCATAATAAAAATATTAATATCTGTTTAATTAATGTCTATTACAATAAAACATGTTTGATTCATTTTATTAAAATATATACTAAAATTTCAATAATTTTTCAATTATTATAATTCTGCTTGGTAATTTTTATTACGTTGTTTGTAAAATGTCTTTTGTATATTTTAAACATCCTATTGTTACCGATAATATTTGATTGGTTGCCAAGTTGTCCCAAGTTTGTAATGAATTTAACGGTAAAATATAACGAAAAATTCTCTCCGTGTACTGTAGATAAGATATATATTACGGGCGGTTTCGATGGACATGACTGTATGAATACAGCCGAGGTATATGATCCAAGCACCAACCAGTGGACAATGATAACAGCAATGAGGTCACGTAGGAGCGGCGTGTCGTGCATATCTTATCACGGCTGTGTTTACGTTATTGGTATTAAGACATGTATTACAAAAGAAATTCTGTCACGGCATTTGCGTTACTTATACATAAATATGTTTATATACACGAGAAAGTGAATTCCAAAATACTCTTTTTTTCTTATGCAAAATTATTTTAATGTATATATTTATTTAAAACTTAACTTATTTCTTAATTACGCAGTTCTTTCATAATTGTTTTTCTTATTTTACAGTATTATTATTATTAATTATAAGAAAAATAATAATTTCTTTTTATAAAGGAGGCTTCAACGGAATATCGAGAATGTGCAGTGGGGAAAAATATAAGCCTTCTACGAACAGCTGGAGCCATATTCCCGATATGTATAATCCGCGTAGCAACTTTGCCATTGAAGTTATTGATGACATGATTTTTGCTATCGGTGGTTTTAATGGTGTTACTACAACATACCAGGTGGAATGTTACGACGAGAAAACAAACGAATGGTAATTAATTCTTCCATGTCCATCTATTTTATCATTGGATTATATATAATCTATAAGAAAGGACGACATATATATAATTAATGTTAAAAATATGTAGTTATGAATTTAATGACAGTGACGTAAATAAAACTCTCAGTTTAATACCAGTTTATTCCCTTTGAAGCATATGTTGCATTTATGATTCTTCGATTTATTCCTACAATTCTAAACATAGGTACGAGGCGACAGATATGAATATATGCAGATCAGCACTGTCGGCCTGCGTGATTATGGGTCTTCCAAATGTATATGATTATATTCACAAGCATCGTGAGCGCTTGATGGAGGAAAAGCGCCAAAAGTTATTGGCTCACGAAGTACGTCGGAGTCAACATCAGCAACAGCAACAGGAGCAGCAGCAGTCGAGGCAAACCTCGCAACTCGGTCAAATCATACCGACACCACCACCTCTACCACGCTAATAATAATTAGCAAAAATGAAAATAATAATAATTGGCAGTACTAAAACCAAACATCATTATTAAGTAAATCCGCCGTGTAACATTTGTTTCATTTTATTAATTTGCAATGGAAATTTTGGATTATTGCCAGACGCAGCATGAGATGGCGATCAAAAGAATGAGGGCCAACTGATTAATTGTCAGAAGCACAGAGAGATAGCTGTTTATATATATTTGCCAATGATTATTTTTATCTATACACTCACGAAGAGAATATTTTATTATATTTATATAATTTTCAGACTGCCCTTTACTCATCTTTGTTAAGTTAAATTTTTTTTGATACTGCAGATATTTCTATTGAAACTTTTTGCGATTTTACACATGCTATATAGTGCCATCTCAAATAATTAAATTAACTAAGATAAACAAAGAAATAATTTATTCTTTTCCCATTTTAAAGACTAATGGGTGCCAGCCGATACTCCGCTAGCCTAGCAATTTAATCCATTAGGTCAAAGGAGAGGAAACGAGCGAAAACGAGCGACTGCTCACGATTGCTAGGCTAGCGGAGTATCGGCTGAACGCACCCAATGATATCGATTGAATTATTACAATAATAATACTTACATTGGTAGCATAAATTAAAATTATTTTCTTTGCGCAAACAAAAGGTGTGAATAAAGCAAATGATAAAATAAGTCAATAAATACACAAAATAAAAACAAAATTTTATGAAATAATAATTTTGCGATATACATGAGAAATTACACGCTTATTTGGCATTTCCTAAATACGACGTTGTATGAGCGATTGCGTGCAGCAATGACACGTGTAACAAAAAATAAAGTGGTAAATCTGAAGAATAGTGGCCTCCTCACCGATTTCGTTGAACTTAGACTTAATCGATGCGTTTTTGCGTGAAACGAAAAAATCTGGCAGAAAAAAGTGTCGCTCTGCCCCGCGAAGCGGACGTTCTCCGGCTCCAGTGGTGCTCAACTTGTATTTGTGCTTAAAAAGATGTTTCTCCTTTAAATCGATACTCGCATCTCTCGAAGTATTCTCGAAAGTCTCGAATTGCTTTGTTGGCTCTTTTCCGCGATGCTGATTGATTGATTATGTTGCTGCGCTAACTTCGTGCAATGAGCGGCTGTCATAGCATATTTTGACAGTTGTGTGTAATATTAAAGCTAAATAGCGCGCGTTTGTGACGTCTAGTATATACAAAATATGTAATATAACAATATATAGGGTGCGTTCGGGGAGCTCGCTACCGCGCTACCAACGCTAACGCTATTAACTCCGTTCATGGAGCCATGATAGCGCTAGCGAATGCGAGCTCCATGAACAGCAGTAGCGTACTAGCGTAGCGTTTTGTAACTCCTGCGCCGCCAAATTTAAAAAGCTGAGTTAATAGATGCTGTTGTATCAATTACTTCTTTAATATTTTTAGGGCAGAAGTTGAGAGTAATATGTGTGTAAATGAATACGATTCATTCGTAGTAAAACAACTTAAAGAAACTGTTGTATATTAACGCTTACAGCAGAGCTTTATTTAACACGACTTG